TTTTTCTTTAGGGGTCATTATGTTTTTTGGATTGATGTTTCCCTTAACTCACATAGTATGGTATGAACCGTGACCTTGATTTCTATCTCATCAGGCCATTATTTTGCATTATTATCAACCCGTGAGACAAGTGATATGCACGTTACTGTCAAATAAAATGTATGTGTGCCTGAGAATGATATTTGATGACAGCAAAAAAAAACAAAAACAAAAACAAGATGGTGACTTGAACACACCTGGACGGTTACAAGTAGTTGTTCCTACAAACCTTTCAACAACATGTAATTAAATATGGGCAATTAACAATAAAATTCTTACAGTTTAATTAAATTAATCACGACATAATTACGATGACTCTTGACGAATAGATTGTAAGTTATCAATGAACTTAGCTGCCCGAAGGTTTGGTGCCGTATGTGGGCGTGGTGTTAGTTGTGCTAGTGGGAGAATTCTCACGAGGTTTTCCGATGAGATAAGTAGACATCGCAACAGGGCTGGATAAGTTGGACGATAAGTTCGGGCACATTATTTTTGTTGTTGCAATATTTGTTACGTATGTTCTATATTTCTTGTGAAAAATGATAATAGACTCTCATTCTCTAACAAGACTACTGTATATCGAGTTCGACTAAGCAGGGTACACCTGTCGTATACCTGAGGGTAGGTGTATCACTTTGTATCACTCGGACGTGTCTTACACCATCTATCAACGTCGTGCTGGTTGGTCTAAGATTAAACAACTTCCCTGTCAAATACTCAATTACCCAAAGCTAGAAATGGTTAGAAACGATAGGCTGAGAGATGCTGGAACAGGAGAGTGGATCGGAGAGAAGAGATGATGCGAAGTGATGAGAAGAGAGCGGACAGATCAGCGAGGAATATACGACAAACTGCTGCTATTGATATAACATATGGTCAATGTTTGATTGCCTGCTTTGATTTAATTGACGTGATACTAAGACGTGTATCATGATAAAATCCGACACTGCCATATAGAATTCCATCATGCACTGATACCACGATGCATGCAATACAAAAATACACCTGACAATAAAAATGATTGCTCAAAATGTCACTGTTTGCGCGATGAAAACAGCGCCAATGTTAGTGCGGTTCAATTCTGTAATATCAGGTGTTCACATATATGGGATACGTGTCCAATCGTATCCAAGCTAATTGAAGATGAAGCATGTTACATACTCTCCAACCGTCACCCAGCTTCGCCTGAAATACCTACGTCCAGGGATTAACAAGATTGTCACAGCAGACTCTCGATGACCCCTTTCTATATTAATTTAATTTTGGTTTTATTGACAGTTGATTTTCATAGCTTTGTTAGGGCAATTGCATTATACATGGTCAAGGCAGCGTTTATTGCCAGACGTGATGAACCGTGACCTCGCGTGGCATATCTCAAATATACAATTACCAACATACATCGACTTCTCACGTGTTTCTAATTTAGTAATTAAATTAGAAGTACTCCTTAGGGGCAAATTGTTTCGTGGTGGTATTGTGTTGGCAGATTGGAGAAGAGTAAGATAACTGCAGAACCACGAAAGGAATCGCCAGAAAGCGCGGTTAAATGGCGGTGGTCGTCGCGCCGCGTCCTGTTCGATATGGGACTCATAGCGACGCATGTACGTATACAACGCGTGTAAAATACACTGTTTATTTACATGAAATTCGAAAACGCGACGACCACCGCGCTTTAAGTTTTCGGTACTAAGCTGCCGTGGGATCATCATGAAAACAGGGTTCTATCCGCCAACGCTATCGTGGCATTCACTTTCACGTACGGTTCATACTTATACGTAAGTAGGTCGGGGTAGAAATTCCAAGAAAAGGGGGTTAAACCGGTGTAGGGCGTGTCACATGCCGCTCAAAATGTGACCATATTTATACCACGGTAGCTACAAAATGTATGCTCCACGATAAAATATTCTTTGCTCATTTTTTTTCTTCAAAATCTACTTCGAGTTTCTAACGGCCAACCCATTAAACTGAGGTTGTGTACGTCACTATGAGTTCCATATCGAACAGGACGCGGTACGACGACTGCCACCCTTTACATTTAGGTTGTACACAATGGAGAGAATGAAACATGCATTTCTGTGGTCTCATTGACTGCAACATTACACTCGAGGGGACAAAGGCTGACATTGTGGTTCGTGGATTTTGAAACGAGTCCGTTCGAAGGGCTTGGATCAACAACAGGACATCTTAAGAAGTTTGGGGAAATTTGTAAATACGTTTGATTTACTGTCAAAGAACTGGCCGTGTGGCTTTAATCTGAACGTCACTTACTCCCAATATTATCGGCCGAAGTTAGCAAGACGAAGTTGGCAGCATTGATCAACTGTGATCGTCGGTGCCAAAGTTTGCGGCAATACAGCGAAAAAAAACGAGAGACGACGAGTTGTGGGTGCAATATTTCTCGTCATGCAATCACGTGGTCAAAAATTCACTACATCTTTAGTAACCAGGTTGTTCAAATGATCATCATAATGACTGCATTTTCTGTGCAATAATGAAGCCCTTTACCAAAATCTATTGGAATTCTTAATACAAGTAACAGTGCACCGCATTCTTCAACAACGTAGTCATTTTCACTTGGTGACAGCCTGTCACTCAATCAGTGCTTCTCCCATCTCAATAAATCCTCAGCTTATCGATGAAATCCAATGGAATTTGAACGTAAATACTATTTCAGAACCCTCATTGTGATCGAGACATTGGGTTCTCACATATTCCAATTAAACTAATCATTGCGGAGAGAAGGCGATCGTTAAGTGGTGGTACGAGAGGCGCTCTTAGCTACTCTCTTCACGGGAAGTGTTAGAGCAGTGATTGACAACATTATTGTTCCAATAATCCACTTATGTACAGCCACTCACTATTGACTACTAAAAGAAAATACCGAAAGCTAAAAGAAAACCACAGCTGAGAAACATTGCTCTTGTGACGACCGGAAAACACCGAGACGTCAAGATTGTGATAGCAACGGACGGAGATAAAAGCTCATCTCGTAGTCATCGTTGCGGAATTTTGCATTGCATAATTTTCTAACAGATTTGTGCTCAGAAATATAGACAAATATGGTACTGCGAATTAACCAAATTTATGAAGCTGTTAATGACGTCTTGTTTTATTCAATCTGACGACAAGATACACAAACTGGTTGCCACCGCCGCGGCGAGAACAAAACTGATATCACAACGATTCTAGAATGAAAACTGAATGTTTCCATGTGAGATATTTCTGCCTGTAAATATGCATAGGAATATTTTTAAAATATTTTCTACGAGACACGGCTATGCGAGTGTGAATCATCTAATGGTCTACGTCACTCATAGCAAATAGCCGCTGTTGAGTTGCCGGGTTACCTGGTTACCACCATTCCTTGCTTATTTACGGGTTCTTGGAGGGATGTTCCGAGACCCCACATTGTACCCATTGACACAACAATAACTAAAACAATCAAATGTTGCCGAAAATGCAAAACATCTCGAAAAATCAGAATGTTTCATTACCGGGCTATATTATAAATAAATTTCCAGTTTTACCCTGAGTCTGATTCCTGTCTTGGGCTGGCCAATTCTTATCATTAGTATCATGATGACCGCCTCATATCACCATGGTGACCGCCTCATATCACCTGCGAGACTGGTGTCTGTAACATGAATTAAACATGAGGAAAGCAGGTCACGGCAAACCAAAACGGTAAACGCTTAAATACTATTTCTGATTCTGACATACATTTTGAACTTATAGTAAAACGGAAGTTATAATTATATTAAAATTTGAAATCTACAGAAATGAACCCACAACATCGCCACATTCCCAGTAGGTGTTTTATGCAGTCCCCCTCTCCCCGCAAGACAAACTAAAACTAAAATTAAACTAAAATTGGAACTAAAATTATGATCGTAGTATTAACAGTTTCTCATTTCTCACTTAACCTCAGGTCTATGGTAAGAATCTAATCTACAAATCATCTACTCCTTCTATTCGTACCTATACTGTTGTATGACGCCAGACCGAGCCCAACATACTGCCACGCCGTGCGATATTAGGTGTTTTTTTTATTAACAGTTCGCTACTGTACATCTTTCGGCGCACAAAATGACAAAGATCATATTAGAAAGTCTTACTGGTATTTTGACATAAAACACTTTCTTTGTGTGGCATGTACGACCAACACAAGCAAAATACGTGGTATGGATTGTTTTAACCAATCGCGAAATTCAAAAATATTGGACGTACGAAAAATCAAAACGTTTAGGACCATTGTGAGACATTGGCCCGCGGTAATTCGAAACAAGGTCGAATATTTACCACAAGACACGTATAATGATACTATCAATGACGTCACACAATAACACAAAAATCTCAGTATAGTATCATCTCAGACTCATTAAAACGGA